TGTGTGTGTGTGTGTGTGCACAAGTGTGCAAGTTTAAGGGCTCATTTTCCTAATTCGAACATTCTCTCCCACTGCCAGTCACACCACGTGGACTTTGGGAGGCTGTATAAAGGACACCTCCCTGAGGCACGCCCCTAGAGGCTTTTCATCATCCGTATCCTGAGAGTCCTGCCCTCCTCCCAGCCCCAGCAGGAGTGGGCCCCACTTTTCTGACATAGTAAGTTGGGGAAAGATGGTGGCGGAATCACCGTCTGCATGAGCAGCAGCATCTTCCAAGGAACTGCTGAGTGTGAAGATGCCTAAGCCTTCCCAGCCAAAGCCCAGCCCCAACCATTTCCTTCCTGGAAATGAGCTGCTGACATCCGCTCAGGGACCACGCGTTAGTTAGGATTCTTGGTAAAACATGACTCACTGTTCCTGTTCATTAGCACACACACGGGGTTGAGGGCAATCGCACTCATCAATTGACAAGCTTGCTCTAGCAAAGGGACAGCTGGGGACCACACCGACTCAGTCCCTGGGACGGAGAAGAGGTAAGAGTAGAGTTCTGCTGGCAGTCCCAGGCAGGCCCAGACTCTTAGATCCATAAAGGGCCCAAGAGACTGTCAGTGTAACTCCCTCCCTTTATACGTGGGAACACTGAGGTTAAGCAACTTATGGATGAGGATATTCAGCAAGAAGTGCAGGCTTCTAGGTCTGGAAGTCTTAGGGATCTGAGGCTTAGCCTTTAGCTTCCTGGATTGTTTTCAACCCCAGAAACTTAAAGTGCTCAGTGAAGTTGACGTCCCAAACAGCCCCAGGTGGCTCAAGGCCAAGAATGACCCAACAGTCAAGGAAGCAGCTGCTGTTGGTTTTGAACCTTGACTCTGGTACCGTGCTGTGACGACCCTTATCACCCAAGGGGCCTACCGCAGAGCCGGGGTTGTCAGGGAGGTGGAGCAGCACCAGGCTGTCAGGGGCTCCTTAGCTCCAAGTCAAGCCTGCCTCAAGCCCAGTCCTAACCCTGCAATAGCTAACAAGAGAGAAGTTATATGCCAGGCTTTTTTCCATCTTTGTGGAAACAAAAAGCCTTTTGCCTTTCACCTCTATTTGTTTACTGCCGCTTTTCTGGAGGGACAAGAGACTATGGAAGTACCTTGAGAACTGTTAGCGTTCCCCAGAAACGAGATACAATCATCCCCACAGGGCACATCTGTATATTCCAGGACATGAGATTGGCGTCCCTCCCACCAACCTTGTGGTTCTTGAGGCTTCGTCCGTCACCACAAATGCTCAGGCTTCAGAATGCCCGTAATTCTCTAAACTTACTCAAGGACCAGAAGTTTCTATTTCAGAAGAAACTCTCATTTCCTTTTTTTTTTTTTTTTTTTTAACAACCAGGCATTTCGCTCTGGTCGCTGAAGGGCTGCTCTGTCCTCCCACTGGCTGTCTTGTCTGGTTCAGAGCTCTTCCTGTTAAACCTGCAAGGCCATGGGCACCAAGAAGACAGCACATCGTCAGCCTAGCGCAGCCACCACCTCCAGTGATGTGAACCAAAGCCTCTCAGCAGACCGGGCCCGGGGCTGAGAGCTTCCTGAGGCCCCAGGGCCTATCAGGGGCCCCGTCTGTCCTTCCCCAGGCTCCAGGGAGCCTGCATTTGACCCTCATTTGGGGGCAGCCCCAAGTGGAGCCAGCTGCAGGGTTGCCTGAAAAGAGATTCCACTGCTTCCCCATCTTTCTCTCATCTTTCTCATGTTGCTTTAAATATGAAGCTCCATCTCAGACGTCTATACACAGGAGGGTTGGAGATTGCCACTCAGCCCCACTTTTCCTGACAACAGGAATGAGGCTAGGAATGGGAAGAGAAAACAGTGCAGAGCTGAGTTAAGAGAAAGTACTGGGACTGGGCATGGTGGCGTGAGCACGCCTGCAAGCCCAGCACTTTGGGAGGCTGAGGTGGGCAGATGACTTGAGCTCAGGAGTTTGAGACCAACCTGGTCAACATGGTGAAACCCTGTATAAGATTAAAAAAATTTAGCCAGGCATGGTGGCATGCACCTGTGGTCCCAGCTACTTGGGAGGCTAAAGTGGAAGGATGGCTTAAGCCGGTGAGGTCAAGGCTGCAGTGAACCAAGATTGCGCCACTGCACTTCAGTGTGGGTGATGAAGTGAGATCCTATCTCTAAAAATAAAAAATAAAAGAGAAAGTACTGGGGGTAAAAAAAAAAAGTTTGGTGCTCTTGCTTCTGCTTAAGAGTTGTCACAAGAAGCCCGAGAACACTGAAAAAGAAGAGAACACCGTTAGGCTCTGGAGCGTGGGGTCCGTGTTCAGGGTACAGAAAGCTTGCTCGCCAGCTCCAACTGCCAGACCCAGGGGCTCCCTGGAACTCAGATCCCAGAGCTGGCCTTTGAGGTGTGTCTGGCCCAACATGTCTGTTTGCAGGGCCACAGATCCTCTTGGCTCAGAAGTCCTGTTCTTCCCTGTTCTCCCGCCTTCCAAGGGCACTTCCACGTGTGTGGCTGTCATTTACTCTCTGCCCACGAGAAGTCAGGACAGCCAGACTGCCCAGCCCTGGCTCTATGCTTTGTCCTGAAGGTCCACACCCTACCCTGCCTTCCTCCCAATACTAATTGCCTGTGAGCTGGTTTGGATTTGAGAAACAAGAGCTTCAGGTTTCCATGAGAGCCCATTGCCTCAGCTGCTCTCTGAGCCTGGACCCTGTCATCCTCTGGTTGGTTGGCATTTATACCCCAGCTCAGGAAGAGGGGTAGGGGTGGGGCAACCAAGCTAAATATAGATGCAGTTTCTAGAAAGCCAGGGGTGAGAGAGGACATTGACTGATTCTCATGCCAGAGACCAATTTATCAAAACAGAAAGAGACAA